AATTGTACTTCTGTGAAAATTATGGAAAAGATTGGGAGGACCAGGCGAAAAAATGTGCAAAATTCTTTGATGAAATTAATATTGCACCAGCATTGGAGAGTTACTGTATAGATTTGGGGAAAAATTCTGGGGATTTTATCGGCAAAAACTTCCTATTACAAGAAGTTTATACGTTGAAGAATTTGAGACTTGCATCTCAAATGCGACAATTAAGGATCTCATGCAAAGAGCAGAAGTTCTTTCTTTAGGGGGAATTCATGAAAGCTGTAAGAATATAATCCCTGATGTATTTAAAACAATAGGAGGAGGTATGCATTCTTTGACTCAACTTTCACTTTGTTTTTGTGACAAAATAGAATGTGTGATAGACATTGGAAATCATTTGGGTCAACTTGGAATTATCTCTAGATTGACTCACCTAACTATCAAAGAGATGAATTGTTTGAAAACTTTATGTCATGGTCAACCTCCTTCGGGCCTTTTTGCAAACTTGGAGGTCCTGGATATATGTGGTTGTCATTCACTTCAGAATATAGTAGCTGATGAAGGGACTGAAATAGTTGTAGCAGATAGTGAATATCAAATGACATTCCCAAAATTAAAGACACTAATCATCTATCAGTGCACTCGGCTAGAATACTTAATGCCTAACACTTTTGCTCAAAGCCTTACACACTTGGAGGTTTTGGATATAAGGAGAGCTAATAAATTGACAAGTGTGTTTGTCCAATCCATTCACAAAGAACCAAGTCCAGAAAATTTTCAACTGATAGAGTTTTGTGCTTTAAGCTACCTATCTCTCAACAACTTGCCAAATATCATTAGCATTTGTCAAGGAAATTATCATCCAACCTGGCCATCTTTGAAAAGCTTAAACTTGGGAGGATGTCCACAGTTAGACCTCAGGTCCATCAATTACTGGCTTGTTATCTCTGGGCTGAGACAAAAGGATTATGAAACATCAGAGGTACCATCCATTCTCTATACTTGTTGAGAACTTTAATATTGTTAGCAATATTTACATGATCTAGTTTTTGTACGACATGTTTATTGTGATTTAAATTTTTTTTAATAGGGGCATTCATTGATTCAAGCTCATTGACCATTAAATAATACAAAGAACAAATAACAGCTTATATATGATACTTTGTGTGGGCAATCTTCCACCTGTAATATCCTCAATCGGTTGTTATTTGAACATTATAAAGTAGATGGCAAAAGGGTTATGGCAACATATATTGAAGTTTGGGAGTATCTACACTTATGTTGTCTTTTCTCTATTCATATTGCTTTACACCATTGCAAAATGTAAAAATATCCAAATATTGCACAATTCTCTAAATATTTTGTCATTTCATATAATTTCTTTACCACTTTGTAGGAACTATATAAGGCAATGGTGACTCCGCTGGAAACTTTGCAATCACTTATTGTGCAAAACACTAAAATAGAAGTTATTTTTGATGGCGAAGGGCTTTCTAATATTGAACAACGAGTGACCTCAAGTTTGCACTACCTTCGATTGCATGAGCTACCAAAGTTGAGCCATATATGGAAGGGTCCCAAAGACTTTTTACTCCTTCAAAATCTTGGCAAGTTAATAATACAAGAATGTAGAAATTTGAAAGTTATCTTTCCTACATCTGTCTCAAGATGCTTGCAACAATTGAGGGAACTCGACATCAGGAAGTGTGAAGAATTGGAGGAAATAATTGAAGATGAAAGTCTAAGTCCATCAAATCCTCATCCACTTGTCTTCCCAAATCTAAGTGCAATCTTCATCAGACATTGCCATAAGTTGAAACATGTAATTCCTATCTCTACAAGCCATGTGCTTCCCAAAATAAGGATCTTATTCATACATGGAGCATCAGAAGTAGAGAAAATATTTAGAGATGAGGAAGGAGAGACAAGAGAGATCAGAAAGGAGAATCTAATTCCAAATTTGGAATATGTAATATTGTGGCAACTGCCTAAACTCAACACAGGAGGTCAATGGATTGACTTGCGAACTGTGAGGTACCTTTTAGTGCAACAATGCCCGAGACTCAATATCACTTCCACTATTACTCCTCGGCAGTTGCAACAAATATTAGATAATGAGAAAGCAGGTACGCAAAGTTGAGCCCCATATTTGAATTAAAAAAAAAAAGAAAAATAAAGAGCATATAGGCTCGTACCAATCCTAACCAAGTAGCTCAAGTTTCTTGGGTGAAATCGACAAATCCAAGCACCAGCCCATTTTGGATGATGAATTTATGACAGTGATGGAGGCTTCACTTCCTTTTGTCTCATAAAATACTTAACACTTATGTCCTTAATATTTCTATGTTGATTCTGCCTACTATATATATATTCATTGTGAAAATTATTCATTTTAGGGTTAAACTATTTAGTACATCCACATACAATATATCTCCATACAAGGCAAATTTGTTGTAATCAATATCCTTCTAAAATACGAAACTAAATTGAAGACAAAGGCACACAAAATATTCAGGATTCATATTATGCCATATATATGCAATTATCATCATACAAATGCTTATTTGTATAATTTGTTGGTTTTTAACGATACAGCTTATTGGGATGACCGTTGGGAGTTAAAGTTTGTGTTGGAAGATATTATTGAATCCAATGAAAAATGTAGCAGACAAATGGAATCTCTTTCTTCTTCACATGCTCAGAACAATAAGCAGAACTTGACACCTATTGCCTCACCAAAATCAGCAAAGGTTTATATATATATATATATATATATATATTTATATTTATAATTGAATCGCTTTCTATTTATTTGAATACTTTTAGCATGTTTGGGGTGGTTAAAACATGATTTTCTGAAAAACAGTCCTTGAGAAAATATGGTTTCAGTGTAGCTTTCATACACTATTATCTGTTTTTGGTGTTGCTTAAGCTTAATACACCTCATTATGGACATAATTCTATGGACTACAATTTATTTCTTTTTCCCTGATCTGCAGAATGTTGAAGAGTCAAGAGATGAAAAGTCCCTGGAGCTGAACATAGCAGAGGAAATGGTAATTATATCTCTGCCATGTTGTTAAATTATTCCTTTCGGTCTAAAATATAAGAGCTAGTTGAAGGTTAGATTTGATTTTAAATATAATATCTCAATCCACTTTGTCTTTCAAATTCATGATGTTTTCTCCAAAATATCCCTATTAATTATAAGGGGCTTCTACCAAGGGATAATCCTAAGATACATGATTACATAGGGTAATTTAGAAAAGTCAACACATTTATTACAAATAACCAACTTAATTAATTTTCTTAATCTCCCTAAATTAGTTATGTACCTCTCATATTAAGGACAAGAGATAGTACTATCTAATTTGATGTTATCTATCTGTTATCCATCTTTTTTTAGAATGTTCAAGGAAGCATTGAATCAGAGAATGTTAAGATAGTTGCTTCATCAGCTCATTCAGAAGCAACTAGCTCACTCATTGGCTCCTCTACTCTATCTATAGCACTTCAGCATGTAAGTTTTTAGTATCTTTGTCAATCTCATAGTGGCCTGCTTATGCAACTTAGATTTCTATACCATAGAGTAGATATTTACAATGTGTTTTGCTGCAAGATATTAAGCGAAGTTTAGAAAGTTCTACACCTGTAGATGTATAGAATGGTATCTTATCAACTCATTCAAAATTAACTAGCTTGCTCTCAGACTTATTAACTGCTTATCTACCTAAAATACATTGTCATGTAAGCTTTCTAGTATTATTATTGTGATAGAACCTATAAATAATTAAAATAGACTTGGAAAATATACTGCTGTGTATCCTATATTATGATTGGAAAATGTAGAGAATACATGTTGTCCCAAAAGCAGTAACCTCTCGAATTCTATTAATGGTCCACTCATAGGAGGTTATATAATGGACCAACAAAACTTTAGGTGATAAGTGCATATTAGCATGATTCTTTTGCTATTTATAGCTAATTCTTTTGCTTTTTCTCATGAAACTGTAAGTGATCAATGCCTTAAAGAGAAATCTCTTGTGAGTCAAACTATATTTATTGATTTTATATGAAGAGCTGGTCAATGAAATGTTAGCCATTGAACATATACTTTAAATTATGTATTGTTACTCTTCAATGAAAAGTATTGGAAAAAACTATCATTTGCTGCAATTTATTATCTCCTTGGCATACAGAATAAGAAAGAGTCAAAAGTTCAAACTACTCGAGAGCAAAACATATCAAAGGAAAAGGTAATAGAAGCACAATTAATTGGTTCACCCACTATTGGCTCGAGATTACATAGATCTTTTATTGTTGTACAGAGTGTTCAAGGAAGAGTTGAAGAGGGTACTACATCGAGGAATGTTCAAATATTCACTACAGTAGCTCATTTAGAACCAGCAAGCTTAGCCAAGGTCAACTTCATCATCTCACCATCTTATACGTTGCATTTAATTGTCTTCTTTTGCCGTTGAAATCATTTAACCATGCCTTTTCTGGATATGGTGTCTTTGAGTATCACTGAAGTAAGTCCTAGTTTAAAGATATCTGAATTAGTGCCAACTTCATCATTGCATCTCGAATTGATTAGTAAGCAATCAACAAGTAATCCTGTAGATATTTCTCAATATAAATCACTAAATGAGACTGTAAGTGTCCTAAATACGCTTGTTTGAATATGGGATTCGCAAATGAGTACCTCAACATTGATGAACCTATCTGATTTTGACTACATCTTCACTTTATAAGGAATAGGTGAAAGAGATATCAACCAGTCAATCAAGTTCAGCGGACCAAAAACAAATAAATATAGAAATTGAAATTACAATTAAAATAATTCCTCATTAAATCGAAGCAATAGATAGCAACTCATTCTCACATTTTTTGTTATGCATAGTGTCAAAAGGAAAATATTCTAGGGGAAAACATAAGAAATTCAACTCTCTATTAACTAATTCAAGTACCAATTGGCTTAAACTTACAGGTTTTATTGCTTTACAGGATGTTAAAAAATACATAGATATAATGAGTCAGTTGGGTTGAGAAAAAAACTTGTAAATTTAGGTTTTATTCCCAGCATGATGGAAATTATTTTTTAAGCTTAGGACTGATATGCATTGTTTTTCAAACATACTTTTATCATTAGATTCAAAGTGAAATCAAGTTCAACCCAAGGGAGTTGGATATTGATAAAGATGGCAAGTTGATCCCTCTAAAAAATCTTCAAGACTACAAAGATGATGATCTCATTAGTTTTCTTCAATCTATGGAGGATCATTATGGTAGGGAATCACCATTCTCAGTCATTCGTACAGTTGCTGCATATAAAGATGAGCTTGTTGCAAAGGCACTTGTTGACTTGAAAGACTACTTGAAGATGCCTCTTAGGGACATAGCAGCCTCAGAAGCCAATAGTCTTCGCCTGCAAACTGCTCTCAATTTTTTGTCTCGTTTTTCTTTGGAAGATATAGCTCTTTCCCATGGTGTGAAGGCTTTAATAAAGTCTATGCACAAAGATTTTCCTAGTATCATACAAGCATTTGCTACTGCCAATGAATTTGTAGTGCTCGAAGAAAGAGATAAAAGAATCAAAGAAGAACTAACTCAAAGGAAAGAGGTTGCCATTGCTCTTGTTTCCAGAATATCTAAGACCCAGAAGTCAATGGTTGAAGCTCGAGCAAAGAAAGCTAGGTTGAAGGAACATATCACTTGGTTGGATAAAGAAATAACAGATTATGAGGTTGAGCTGTCGCGTCTACAAGAGCAGAAAAGGAAATGTATTGCAGAAAATATAGAATTTATGAAAGAGATTGAGGTCATGAGAAAGGAAAGTTTGGAGATGGTGGAAGATCAAACAAATGCTCGACAAGAGGTGTTTCAGATTGATCATAAATGGTCAGTCATGTGTAGCCAGTTTGAGCTAGCCATAGCCCAAGAAAATCTCTCTTAGTATTGTTTTTTGTAATACCATTTAAGTCCAAGAGGATTTCAATAATCATTGGACTATTTAACAATGAATTGTGATATAACTACATGTGGAATACATTTCGGATTCAACTGCATTGATTTAAAGTGTGTATTTGCTCTTTATCATCTTTTTTGCCTCTGGTTACAGGCACTAGTGTGACTATTTTGAGTATTTTCTTTGTCATAGAATCATCAATTGTAGAACCACCCAGGGACGTAAAACATGTGGCAAACTTCATAGACCTTTTTTGGCTAAACCTTTATATACTATTTCTTGCAAGCATTTTCTTTATACTTCAAATTTTAAGATTCTTTTTGTTATAAAGTTACTAGTAAAAGCAAGGAAAGCACTGGTGACAGGGTTAACGCCTTGAATGAAAGGACGTAATTTAATTTTAAAAAATTAATAATTTGATGGAAACTTGTAGATGTGTAGGAGATAAATGTTGCGATGAGAAAGACAAATCACCCTTGTAAGATTTTAATTTATGAATGAACACTCATTGGTGTAGGTCTAGGTTTGGTTGGAGAAGTTCATTCATCTGAAAGGGCCACAAATCACTTAATTAGTAAAAGCGGGGGGAAGAGAAAGGCTAATCAATTCTTGTCAGCTGCTACATGTTGATAAACATATCAAAATGCATGACTTAGTTCATGATGTAGATCTATTAATGGCCCAAAAAAAAGAAAAAAGGTTGATTTTGGGACAGTTAAAAGAGGATGTGATAATAAGACATTTATGGTTTGATGAAGTTGATAAATTTCTCCATAAATTGGATTGCCCTAAACTTGAGTTTCTTCACGTGTCCCTCTATATGCTTTCAAAAACAAAACATGATGTGAAAGTAGTAAATGATTTTTTTCAAAGGTATAGGGATCCCAAAGTTGTAATTTTTGCAAGTAAAGCATTTTTGTCTACCAAATTGCCCATTCTACAAAATGGTTAAATTTAGTTAGTGCACATCACTAGTAATCTTTGCCGCTTATTTCTTGATGGGTGGTATTTAGGTGACATCTCATTTATAGGAAATCTAATAGGACTTGAGTCTGTTACATTATGGAGGTGTCCTTTTGACGAAATACCAAAGTGCATCATAGAATAAAGAAATCTGAGGCTGTTAGATGTATAGAGATGTGAAATTCAAAAGAATCCCTATAGAGTATGTGATGGACCCCCCCAAGTATGATTTGGTTCAAGCTGAAATCTTGGCCAAACTTACTCACCTAATGAGACATTTAAAATGCTTGTGTATATCATAATGTGATTCACTTGAGCATATAATATCAAAGGTGCTGTAGAATTGCATTTCCTCAATTAAAACAATTGACATCCATTTAATAGTCAAGTTTTAGAAATATTTTAGGCTAAGAAATTGAAGAGTGTATTTGGCCAATCCAGTTAAGAAGGTCTAGATCTAGACATGGTTCAAATCATTGAGCTCTCTGCTTTAAGACAACTCATTCTTTTGTCCAGAAAATTCTCAACCAACATTTCCATCTTTCAAGCCATCATTGGATTAATGGCAGTAATAAATTTGAAAGGAATTAGAGGAAATAATAGAAGAATATCAAAATGAGTCAAGTCCTCATGAAACTTGTCTAACCCAAATCTTTATTCAATAGTACCATAAGTTGAAACGGGCATATTTGGTGTCTACACGTGGTGTGCTACTTGTTTGAAATTAGTGGAGATGAAAAAGGATTCCAAATTTGGAATATGCATTACTTTTTGACTGATGTTTCCTAGGCTACAAGGGAACTGGTTTTTGTACTAATCACTATAGTCAAATCTACACTATTCAAATACAGTTTTAATGATCCAAATTTAAAATTTTCAACTGATAATTTTTAAATAAAAAATTATTTTTTTAAACAACCTACAGTTAAGAGATTACATTTATTTTAGATTATATAACATTTAAAGGAAAACATTTTTCAACAAACAAATTTAAAAATCCAAATCTTCACCATCCATATTAAATTTGAGCAATTAAAATTTGTTAAGCATCATAATGCTTATCACTGTGATAAACACTAAAACTAATTTTAACTGTAAGACACCTTACAATACATCAATGTCCACATTGCACAGCTCTCTCATGAGTGTTATATTTCTATATGTTGTTGTTTGAACTTCAATCAGTTCATTATTATTATTTAACCCATAATTTTAGTTATATATCCTTACTGTACATAAGAAAAAGTCATGAAGAAAATATCAATTACTATAGTTTAAAAGTAGAAGGGTGTTTTCTCAATTCGTCTTTGCATGTTTTGCTTAGAAGCAAATCAAGGACAACCAGACAAAGATAGAAATTGACAAAAATATTCAGGTCAATGCTGTTATATATCTTCAAATAATTCCCCATATGGAATTGTCAAATTATTCCTAAGCTGCTCCTTATGTAATAAGCTATTTTTAATGTATATTCTTCTTAACACTAAGCCTTTAAATTCTGAATACATATTCAGTAACTTATATGAGGAGATGATGAATGAAGTATCTTCCAAGAATCCAAGTTTTACTGCTTGAGGGACCAATGAAAGTCACAGTCACTCAGAAGAACAAATAATGTCAATAATGAATTTCTGCAAGAAATAAAACATGTCATGCAAATTTATTTTTTGTTGCCGTGCAGCATGTTGAAAGTTCTATATCAGAGGATGTTAAATTAGTTACTGCATCAACTCACTTACAACTACAAGCTTATTTCTATTTGAAGATCCAGTACATCAAAGATTCAAGTGGGAAATATATCAGAAGAAATTGTAACAGTATCAAATGATTTGAATACTAAATGATTTTATGGGAAGATTTGAAGGTCTTTCATCTGCAAATTCTAAGATAGACAAAAAAATACCCGTCTAGCACCCATGTCTTTTTTGCTATATATATCCCTCAATTTATCTAATGAATGGTGAATGAAATAATCAGCCAATGAATTTGAGGGACCTGAGAAACAATCACTCGGAGAAATTTATATTACTAATAATGAAATTCTTCAAGGAATCAAACGTTTTATGCATCATGCTATAGGTTGTTAGTTGCTCTCACTTTTCTCTACTGTACAGAGAGTGTTACAAAGACAGAAGATCAAGGGGTCCAACAAAGAAATACGTCAGAAAACAATGTAAAAACAATTATGATCTGATTCTAATCCTTAAGAGCCCAAATTTGTTACTGGGCAGTGTGTTCAAGGAGGGGTTGAAGGTTCTACATCAAAGACTTGTAAATCAATGCATTTGGAACTGGCAAGCTCAACCTCAGGCTCATCAGTCACTTCTCTGCCTAAACCATTTCCCTGTGTAAGCTAATTTCTCTTGTTCTTTCCAAGATTAATACACACCTATGAGAGGCTATACGATTGTCCGGATATAAAATTTTGGGTGATCAATACTAACAAGCATTATCAGCTGGTGTTCTGTTTTGACATATTCGATTTGAATTCCTATAAAGGAGTCTACTTCTTTAGTACAATAGAATTGGATTCAAGGGAGGAAAATCATGAAATTTGAAAAGTTGGGAAGTCTCCTTGCTAATCTATATAAATGCATGTGTATCCCACAACTAGAGAATTAGAAAGCACTTTCGAGCACTCTGTCTCCCTTTCCTTTTTCATAATATATTTTTTCTTGTTAGATTCAATGTGAAATCAACCAAAGGGAGACATAAATTGACAAAGACATTAAGGAAACCTAATGCTCGCGGTCGCTCGCTGGTTAGATTGCTCTTGGCAACATTTAATATGCTCTGCTCCACATTTCTTGCTGCTGTCACAGGAGAAACAAGAGTCGTGCCTTCAAGATCAATTCGCTCGAGTCTGCTGCCGCCAAGATAATTCTCCACTGTCCGTTCGTGCTATCTATATAATGGACCTCGCTAATTCTTCTCTTTCTTGAATCCAAAATTAACATATCTCATTCAATATAATATACTCCTTCGATCTTTAATATAAGATCTGTTTAATTAATTTGACTAGATTAAAGAAGTTAAGTAAGTTAGTTAAATATTAAAAATGTGACATGTTTTTTTTAAAACACCATAATCATTTTTCTTAATATCCTTCTTCTTTCTTCTACTTAATTATGGTTGAGGAAGTATCCATAAAGATAATTTAAAAAAAACTGATAAATATAAGAAATAGGTCTTATATTTAGGACCAAAATCAATTTAATAATTAGATCTTATATTAAAGACCGAAAGAGTAACATATATTATGATTGATGATTTGCTTTTCTTCCTGAATCCACACCTCTTTCTTCTTTTGTGTGTGTGTGTATATTGTATTTGCAATTACTGCTCCCTTTTCATTTATTTTTTCTTTGTGCTATTTTTCCTTATCATAAATTTAATATCTCGTGCACAAAAGAAAGATATATATATATAAATAGATTTCGTGAAAAATCTTCTCTTTATCCTATAATAGATTTAAGAAACAAAAATATAATAAAAAATAATTAAATAGGTATAAATTATCCATAGATTTTACTAAATATGTTTCAAAATCTACTCCAATTTAATTATAAAAATAATAATTATCAATGAGCTTGAGGCCGATCTGGTAGACTTTATGAAGATGCCTTTAAAGAACATAGCGACCTCAGAGGCCAATAGTCTTCGCCTGGACTTAAAGCCATAATAAAAAGTCCATGCACCAAGAATTGCCAACCGTTCTACAATCTTTCAAGCAACCCTTTTGCTACTGTCAACCGTTTTACTGTGCTTGAAGAAAGAAATAAAGGCATCAAGGAAGACTGTGGTTGAAGCTCAAGAGAGAAAAGGTTGTGAGGCTGATTTAATGTCTCTTTATGATCAAAAGACGAAATTTGTTGCACAAAAAGTAGAGTTCAAGAGAGAGTTTGAGACTGTAAGGAATGGTCAAAGATCAGAGATATGCTCAGCAACAACTATTTGAGGTTGATCATAAATGGATAATCCTCTGCAACAAGCTTGAACAGATTTTTTCTGACACAAATCTCTCT